AAAAAGAACAGCATATGCTAGAAGCCAAAACACGTCCGTTGAAAGGTGAGCCCCAGACAATACCTGAATATTCCTCCCGTTTTACTGGTTGGTTGTCTAATCCACCTTCAACAAACTAAGAAACTATTATTATTCTGTAAGTTACAACATACCTCCTCCACTGCAATGTCATGGCCTAAGAAACCTATCAAGAGACAAGTCATTGGGATTTAGAATGTGGACATAAAGTGCCTTTGTGCCAACTTTAACAAATTTGACATCTGCATGAGAAATTCAGGGGGTTCTAGGGCACTGTGTAGGACCTGCCATTATGTACCAGACTGTTAGGATAATTGTACCAGACTGGTAGGATGATTAGCTCCTGTTTAAATTGATGTACGTGTGTGCGCGCACGCATGTACGTGTGATAAGGATCTTAGACTGCAAGCTCCTTGAGCAGTGACTGATGTACAGTATATGCTGCATAAAAATCAGCATAATGAAACGGTTTGTAATAATACATAATATATATATTTCTTTTTATGACCACAGGTTTGTTTCAAAAGCAAGCTGTCAGGATAGAAATAGATTTGTCACTGCTGACTTGTTTTTAAAGTGCATGCTTTGGAATGCTCATGCACATCTGTTTTTACACTTTCTGGTGAAAACCTAAATGCAGATAAATCTGAAACAAAAATGTGAATATACGGTGATGTACAGATTGTTAATCGGGGTCAGCTATTCACTAACTGATGAAAGAATGAGAAAGATAGAAAAAACCCTCAAGTTTGCATCATCAAAAAAACACGTCAGCAATTACAGTTCCAACATTTACATCCTGAAATATTCTCTTTAAATGATTATGAATCTTGCACATTGGCCCATCAGAATGAGAAGAAAGTCGATGGAAGCGTGTAGACACCGGTGTTTATTAGACACAGGGGTAACACTTGTTTGAGCTATATACACACCACTTTGAAAAAGAAAATATCTTTTTTTTTTTTAAAGCAAACCTGTTAAGCCATTTTAAAATGTTAAAGGTCTTGCTTAAAACTAGACACCTCAAGATGCCTGCTATTACCTCTTTTAGCCAGAAAAACCTCCTCTTTGAAACTAGTTTATCTTTGTTACTGGGGCCCGATTTCTCTGACTTTAGGGTTATGCCCCAAGAATTGTAAATCCCCTGAGAAAGACTCAGTGGCCAGGACAGGGCAATGGCAGTTGGCAGAGCTTGGCCCTAAAGTCAGGCCCCAGTAATAAATAGAAACTAATTTTTTAACAGTGACAGAGGAATGCTTAAGCAGAACGTTTACACATTTAAATGACGAAGAGGTTTGCTTTAACTGGCACTTAAAATGAAGAACGAAAACGGTGCAGAACATGTACTGTATATGACTTAGCAAAAAGCACATGTTCTGGCAATGGCAAGTCATTCATGTGGGCTGCTACTACACAGTGCAAAACATCCTCTGATGAAAGCAGCCATTCCATGGATCACATACTTATTCTGAACATACAGTGCACTGGAACTAGTGTGAGTCATAGAATGGATGTTTCCATAGTGAATTTTTACTTGAAAAGTTAGGTGACAAATTCACTTTAAAGCAGTGAATACTGGATCCCGACTCTCACCTGCCCATGCAGTACAATGAAGAAGCTCCTCTCTCCTGCAGCAGCCTTTTTTGCAATGACTGGTGACAACAGAATACAGGCATGTGTAAAAATCTGTCCACCCCCAATTAAATTACATTTGATGATTTTAGTGAAACACAACCTCTGCAGCAACCAAACCTACACGGCATATGCCTGGAAATTTGTAAAGCACGATTACTTCTCTTTTTGCTGAATACAGTCACTGCACCTTCCACATTTTAATTTTGCAATTTGTTAAATTAAGAAATCAAGTTGTAATTGCACAAACCTTATTCTAACCTTTCAATTTCAAAGGGGCGCCTAAACCTTTGCATACAAGTCTGATAGTATCCTAGTAACCATGTAGTGCTAGTTTTTGAATGTTGAGCTGCAATCTGGCTTATTCAAGGTAAACGACAGTCTGCAAAATGCAGTAACTAGAAGCAACTCAGAATTAATCTTTTAACCAACTCACATTAGGGAACTGAAATCAGATTAGTTACACAGGCTTGTTCTTTGCACTGTCTTACTGAGCAAGAGTATGTCATCGTGCTATTGTACTTAAAGGGGAAATGCCCTCCTGGGTAAGAAGCAGGGGCCAAATATAAAATTCCTTTAAGATCATTTGATGATCTGCGGCTGAAGTGCTACCAATCATAAAACAGTGTATGTAGTTCAAACAAGGTTACCAAGAACACAGGCAAGTCTGTTTACTGCTGTTTATGTCTATGGGCAGGGTCAGTTTTCAGAGATGTGTCATCCTACCTGGATTACCATAAACCCATCTGGCAATGGATGTCATATATATGCTACAAGTTACACATTACATTAAAAAAGAATGTTATATGCAGGATGGTCCCTGAGGCCAAAAGACAAAGAAAAGCACACACAAAAAAAAAAAACAATAAAAGAAGTCTTCATAAAGTCTAAAATATCAACCCTTATAAACCATCAGGTTATGCATAATTTAACACGAATTACCATATTTTTCAGTGAGTTAAACAATGGATAAAAATGGAAACAACAGACAGGATGTTCTTGACCTATGTATAACAAGACTAGAATTAAATATTACAGAATGATTATTAGATTTTGGATATCGGAGCATACAAACCCAAAATCAATCAATGGTTACTGAAGCAGCAATCATAACGTAGGAACAAGACAAACCAGTAACAGAACTTTTACCTTGTTCACTTTAGTAGTTTTTCTGAGGGTTCAATGGTACTTTATTTTAATGGAGAATATAAAAAGCTATGATTTATAAATGTCTTACTGAATGTTCTTTTTAAAGAGTCCCAAGCACCAGAAGAAACTTCTCTAGGGCAGGCTCCAAGGAAGGACCACTGCTCTGTGTGAGAGAGCAGCCATTGAGTGACAGCTAGAGCTCTGAAATCAGCAGGGAACATGGACTTTGCAAAATTCTAGATGTCACTTGGCATCGAACTGTGGCTGGAGTCCTTCTTTGAAGCCTGCAGCCTGAAGTAGAAGACATTCAACTGGAGCTGGAGCAGTCTTATAAAGAAAATAAACATTAAGGCACTTATAAATCATCATTTTTGCATCCTCCAGTGCTATAAAAAGTTTTCCTAAGTGTTCAATTTTAATATAAACCTTACCTTAGAGAAACAAAAAGGCTGCCATTGTTGACCTTCTTTTAAAAATGTGGCTTCAGAACTTTCTGCACCACTGCCCTAGAGCAAGTATTCTGATCAGGAAAGTCAGATAAAAGGTAATCAATCCTTATCTGAATACAGGTCCTATGTTATATTTAAATTACTGAAATAACAGTATCCACATGACAGCTTGTCAATTTGCAAAAGAAGACATCAATGCCTGCTTCCATGTTTCTTTTAGGTAAGGTATTTTTAAAGAATAACTTTATTATAATCTTTTTTGCACCCAGTTGTAGGCAACATGGGGTACGATTTAATCTTTCAGCATGTCTCTGCTGTTCTTTGGGATCCTGACAGGGAGATCTTGTCCCATATTAGTCCAAGTGTTGAGCTAAGCTTCCGGTGTCCCCTACAGAAATGGATTTGACACCAGAGGGCAGGTAGCAAAAGGAATGCTGCAAGCATGTTCCAGAGGGTATTCAGAAACTTCTTGGTTAATAAATTATGTACCAAAGGAAAATTGAAAACGCAAGTACTGAACAAATATGACCGCTCTAAAGGCCAGATGGTATGTCCTGGTCAGCATTATAAGCCACAGAACACGAAGCAGCAAATCAGACTATATGATGGACAACTAATCCCAGTATGTAGGTTTGTTGCAGGTCATCCTAGTCACAAAATGATAATCAATTCTAGATAAGAAACTGGCATTTCAGTCACTGAGTGTTATTTCATTCTACCTCCTATAAAAAACAAATAATCTACCAGTGTTCACATGAGAAGAGCGCACAAAACCTTACAACTAAATATAAACAAAAAGTAAATCCTAACAATTCCAGCATTTCAATAGGCAGCAGAGTACGTTGATTACTGCTACATAATAAGAAATTGGCAGCAAGAAACATGAAGAAAATGGTCAGAGTATACTGAGAATTCAAGAATTATCTGTGCAGGATTTGGTTAAAAGAATGTGAAATAGTCTTTCAGCCAAGCTATTGTTTTAGGTTTCCTTTTCTGGTAATTAGGCTGTCTCTTCTTCTAGATTAGAATTCATCATCAGAGCTCAGGAGTAGAGTCTTCTCTGTATCACGAGCTCCTGACAGACTCTGAGAGCGAGAGATGATCTGTCCATTGCGCCAGGTTGTGCCCTGCTCCAAAGTGGATTGCTGTGTGTACTGCTGATAGGCTGGGGAGAAGTTATGTATGGCATCTTGAACAATATCATGAGGATTCATGGTCTCCTTCAAACTGCTGGAAATGCTCTTCATGGGAGCACAGCGCCCTGCAAAGTAACACAAAAGACACTCTAAAAGCTTGATCCATACTTTAAGACTCTCAGAACTGAAAACATCAGTAGCATGAAGCAATCCCATATACATATCAAATGTATACTTATTACACAATTCCATATCTACCTATTGCATGGCAAAGGGAAACAACATGTTTTACAAGAATAACTGTAAAGAGAAGAATAAAGTTTCCAGGAGAGGTGGTACTGGGTAGGTGGGTTGTGAATGTGGGGTTCCCCTTGCTGCTGGTTGATGGCTCGTCTACATGCTCATTGAGGGAAGGGGTTACAAGGCTATAATTAATGACATATCCATTCTAGCCAGAGTTCTTGGAGAGCAGATAGGCTTATGGAGTAGATAGGGATCCTTAATGTGCCAGGGGGGGAATGCTGATTGCGTACTATGTAATTTTCGGAATATGTTATGCTGCACTGTATACTTGTATTGTACCTTAAGGCACTATGCCCTGTTTATATGTGTCATAAATGCAAAATTAATAAAAATATATATATTTTTTTTAAAAGGGAAGAATAAAGTGAAGCCCACTGCAGATTGTTAGTTTCCTATATTAATGATCCTTGTGGTTCTAAGACACAATCAGTCTTAGTGAACAGAGTGAACAGAGCAGGGCAATATGGAAAGTGTAACAGTCTATTACCAATTTCACTTAACTGGTGTCAGAACACAGTATGAGTAATTCTGCATTAATTGAGCAGTTTGAATGTTTCCTTATCGAGTAAATATATAAAAAGTTCAGTAACCCAAACTACCAAATTTCATTTTACTGTAGTCATATTAATAAAAACCCCAATGAAGATGGGTTGCACAGCACACAACACTGTAAATTGAAATACTAAAAATGAAAATGATAATTAAAGCAGAACAATATTCAAATTATCAATCCTCATCTTACTCATTCTGCTAACTTAATCACAAGTACCAGAAGCCCTCAAATACATTGTTGGCTGCAGAAACCAATGCTCTGGAGTTACAAAGTGGCCAGTTATTGATCAGATATCACTGGAATGTCCTGTTTAAAAGAGATCATGTGAAAGCATTAAGGTCGATACTAGGCGGATACTAGAGTAGAAATATTTGCTTTCAGGGCTTCACTTTGGACTTACAGCTGGTGGGGCAGGGAGGCAGGTGGTGTAATTTCTGATTACAGGTGGAGGACAGAAATTAAATAGGAAGCTTACGTTTATTCTAGGGAGCTCCATATTGCCGTCTACCACTCAGCTATGTCTGGCCACCACACTACATAGCCACAGTTGGCTGATCTCTAAAACAATTGAATGTTTTAGCACACATAAATTTGTGGGAATGCATTATATGGTAAAATAGGGCTAGGTACATATTGGAGTTTCAGATGTGCTAATATTTACAAAAACAAGTAAGAGTACAAATCATCTGTGCTTGTGATTCTAGTGTGGGATCTACCTACACAAAAGGACCTAAAAACCTAAAGCCAAACAAATTTAGGCACCGAGCCTTGTTTTTAATAGCATCCAAAAAGTGTGACTGAGCCATGCAAAGAAAATGTAGAAGCATATTAAAACTGGTGGGGAAGAGGAATGTGTTAAAAATGGATGTAAATGTATTATTTCAAGAGCGGTTCGCTGCAGGCCTAATGCAGTGAGATGGTCAACAAGAAGGCGAATAAGCTAAATACTATTTAAAAATGCAGATGTAAAATGGCTAGATAGGTGAAGCAGACAGGGCAATACCTACCATATGGACCGTAGGTTGGAACAGCTGCAGCAAATAACCAGGGCAAAAGCAAGGGAAATAAAAGAGAGAAAGGACAGATCAAGAAATATAGAGAGGTTACACAGTGACCTTTAAGAAGAAGCATTCAGAGATAGCAGCATTCATAGATCATATGTTGATGAGTCATACATGTGAACAGCCTGATCACAACAGCCACATGTTCTCATCAGCAGTGCACACGGTGAGATGACTCAGCACTGTTTCTCCTCCAAAACACTGCAAAGTATCAAGCTGCCGGCACACATTCTAGAAAACAAATACCTTGCATAGTCCCTCGGATTAAAAAGACATTAGCGCAGCAGCTGAAACAGATTTAATTCCTCTAAACTTGCAATTGGTCCCAGATAAAAATGCTGCAATATTCAAACATAATTCACCCACCAAATTATTAGCACATGACAGGAGTTATGAAATATCTTCTCAATGATGTATATAGCAGAACAAAAACTGTGGATAATAATAATAAAACTACAACAATGTTTGCAGGCTAATGTAGTAAAAGCTAGATGTTTCCAATAATGCTGAAAGTTATGTGAGAAAAGACAGCTTGCGGCGAATACAAATTGAAAGTAAATCTGATGGCAGCCACTAGGTGGCAGAAATTCACCATTACTGAAGAACTGGAAACATGTCTAACTTAGAAATTATTGTGAAAGATTATTTGTTAGACACAAAACTTCATGTTTTTGGGAGTTCATTTTGTTTGACAATACTGACTTGCAAAATGATTTTAAATTCTATTTAAAGACAATGCCAGAAGAAAACATCAAGATTAACCTGTGCTAGTTTTAAAAGAGTGTGCATTGTTGTAGCTAAAATGTTAAAACTGCATTTTGTAATTTGCCAGCTTAATTTACAAAGCAGTTACTGGCTGCACTCCTGCAGAAGACACTGCTGCCAGTGATATCACCAGGTACAGCAGTCGTGGCAGGCAGGCCCGGATTCCCCACAAGGCCACGCCTCGGGGCGGCAGCGGTGTGGAATCCCCCAACGCCCGGAACATAAAGTTCTGGGCGGTAAGTTGCCTTCTAATTTAGTTCTGCTTTCGGAAGGCAGGACTAAATGTAGTGTGGGGAAGCCGCTTGTTCGTTTACAAGTGATCATGGCGATGTCGCCCGCGATCAAGTGTAGAATGTATGCAGCTTGTCCGTCCTCCCCCCGCACCTACCTCTCTCCTCTGGTTTCGTCCTCCCCTGGCCGCCGAGTCACTCCTCACTGGCCGCCAAAGTGTGGAGCAAAGCGGCAAGATTAAAAACTAACCCTGCCGCTCGTGTATACAGTGAGAGTGGAGAGCTACAGCTGTCAAAGTACTGTGCTAGAACCCCTGTATTGGAGGTGACAGGTTCAATAAAGAGAACCTGTCACCTCCAAAGGTTATCACACAGGGGCTTGTTAGCCAGCTCCTGTGTGATAGCAATAAAGTGAAGGGAAAAAAAATGATAAAAATAAAAAAAAAATAATAAAATAAAAAGGTGATTAAAAAAGTAAAAAATAAGAAAAAAAATAATTCTAAAAAATAAATACGATGAAAAAAATTAATAAAAGATAAAAAAGTAAACGATGAGCTAAAAATGTAAAAAAATTTAAAAATTGTGCGCAGAACCTGGCCTTGGGGCAGCAGGGAGAGTAAATCTGGCCCTGGTGGCAGGGGAGAAAGACCATTGTATGGGGTATGTCCACAGTATTTAGAATACTATTTTAGGGCTTTTTCTGTACACACGAGTACCGCATCTTTTTAATTAGGAATACTCAAGCCACTCACTACTAGGGAACATGGTGAGCAAAAGGCAAGAAAGTCACAGGTTTATTCACAAAAGGGTGAAGAGTTAGAAGTCAGGAATCGAGGACAACATTGCTGATTTGGAAAAATTCTCTAATTCAGCTCACTTTCCAGTTCAGCTATTTTGTCTTAGATTGTTCACTTCTCCTGCTTTCTCCAAACTCTTCACCCTTTAATGAATAGCCATGTAAATAGAGCTGCAGCTAACGATTATTTTCAAAATCGATTAGTTAGCCGATTATTAAGTTCGATTAATCGGTTAATCGGATAAAAATAAAATATATTTTAAAAAATGGCTCCAGTGATGGGACTACTAGTTTGTATTGAGATTGCACTCCATCACAGGAGCAAGCTTGGAGCGATGGGAGAAAAAAAAAAAAAAAAAGTGTGGTGTGCAATATAGTGAAATGAAAAGTGTAAAATAATACAGCAATGAATGCAGAATGGCACCGGCTATGGAGGACTACAAATCCCAGCAATACATTATACAGCACAATGCAGAATACCACCAGATATAGAGGAATACAACAAATCCCAGCAATAGTACATTATAGCTGGCGGTATTCTGCATTGCGCTGTGTAATGTACTATTGCTGGGTTTTGTAGTCCTCTATAGCTGGTGGTATTCTGCATTGCGCTGTATAATGTACTATTGCTGGGATTTGTTGTACTCTATAGCTGGTGGTATTCTGCATTGCGCTGTATAATGTACTATTCCTTGATTTGCAATCCTCTATACAGCGCAATGCAGAATACCACCAGCTATATAGGAATACAACAAACCCCAGCAATACATTATACATACAGTGTACAATGTATTGCTGGGATTTGTAGTCCTCTATAGCTGATGGTATAATATACAGCACAATGTACCATCAGCTATAGAGGAATACAAATCCCAGCAATACATTATAGAGCACCATGTGTGGGAAAGTGCAGGCTTACCTGAGCAGTCTTCCAGCAACTTGTTTCTGAGATCGGGCCTGTCTATCGGCGGCTGTCATCCGCCCACACCTGCTCCACCTTACTTCTCCCCGCGTCCCTGTGCCGATCATGGATTTGGGCGGGCGGTGAGCGTGAGGCAGGTAAGAGGTGCGGCGTGTGGAGCATGGATGCGGGCGGATCTGGCAGCGGCGAGCGTGAGGTGGGGAGGAGGTGTGGCGCGCAGTGTGTGTGGAGCCGTGAACAGGGCCAACCAATTGGTAGCCGATTAATCGATGATTGAAAAAGTTGACAACTTTTTCAATAATCGATTATAGTTGATTAGTTGTTGCAGCCCTACCTGTAAATGTTAGTAAAGCTGTGGTCTTTGTGCACGTACCTGCATTTTATGTACTACTGTATTTAATAAGCTATTAAAATGCAAATAATTTCTCAGTTTGCACCAAATTAACTACAAAAACTTAAAAAATGAACCTTAAAAATTTGTGTATTTCCACTTTCCAAGCCAAATTGGGATAACACCTATTTTATAACTGTTACATGTTCCCAAGCACATAGCATAAGATAAAATAATAAAAAAAATAATAATTTACTTGGGTTAGGGTTTTAAGGCTTAAAATCTCTTTGACCAGATAACCTTCACCCCAAGGTACTTAAGGAATTAAGCCAGGTTATAACAAGACCATTATTCCTAATTTTTAAGGAATCCTTAGTGACTGGTAGGGTACCATGTGATTGGCGGAAGGCTACGGTAGTTCCAATATTCAAAAAGGGGGCTAGATGCCAACCAGGGAACTATAGGCCGGTCAGTCTAACATCGGTAGTTTGTAAACTGTTAGAAGGTATAATTAAGGACTATTTGGTAAAATTTGTTAAGGATAAGGGCATAGTTAATGACAATCAGCATGGGTTCAGGAAAGACCGTTCCTGCCTGACTAACTTGCTAACTTTTTATGAGGGGGTAAGCAGAGATATGGATGGAGGGAAGCCGGTAGATGTGGTATACCTGGATTTCTCAAAGGCATTTGATACGGTACCACACAAGCGCTTACTTCACAAGCTGAGGGCTATGGGCATAGATGAGGTGGTGTGTACGTGGATAGAGAACTGGCTACGGGAACGTGTCCAGAGAGTATCTGTAAATGGCACCTTTTCGGACTGGGCTAGTGTAATGAGCGGTGTGCCTCAAGGATCTGTGCTGGGTCCGATACTGTTCAACCTATTCATTAATGACATCGGGGAGGGAATAAATAGCCATGTTTCCGTGTTTGCAGACGATACAAAAATAGGGAGGGTACTAGAAACGGATCGTGACAATATAACATTGCAGGAGGAACTGGATAAAATAGGGGAGTGGGCAATACTATGGCAGATGAGGTTTAATGTCGATAAATGCAAAGTAATGTACTTTGGACATAAAAATAAACAAATAGGCTATACAATCATGGGTATGCCGCTAGGGAAGTCAGAAATAGAAAAAGATTTGGGGGTCATTGTAGACCACAAACTGAATGGTAGCTTGCAGTGCCAAGCTGCGGTAAACAAAGCTAGCAGGGTCTTGTCCTGTATTAAGAAGGGGATGTATTGCAGGGACAAGTCTATAATTGTGCATCTATATAGATCATTGGTTCGGCCAAATCTGGAATGGAGGACCAGAGCTGAGACAAGGCTTCTCACCTTAAACATGTTTACGCTGGAATTAAGGAGATTAAGGGGGGATATGATTTTCATGTACAAGATGTTCAATGGTGACAGCAACATTGGCAACAAACTGTTTGAGATTAACTCCATTACAAAAACTAGAGGCCACCACCTAAAGTTGGTGGAGAAAAAATTCCAGCACAATGGGCAAAGAGGGTTCTTTACAGTAAGAGCAGTTAAGGTCTGGAACTCACTGCAATCGGCAGTGATTTCAGCCAAGAGTGTAGATTTGTTCAAGAAACGTTTGGACAATTTCTTGAGGTACACTAATATCCAGTATCCCTAAGAATGAGATGATGCGTTGACCTATATGGGTTGGACTTGATGGACGTATGTCTTTATTCAACCCCAAATACTATGTAACTATGTAAATGTTAGGAGGGGCTGTGAGGGGTGATGATGGGTCTGGGGTGGCTAGCCCATTGTATGTTAATGAAGCTTATCAGATAAACACAATCCTCAAATTTCAGTCGCAAGTCTTCTATAAGGACAGACCACTGTGAAAGGACTAAGAAAAACTTAGTTTATACAGTCACATTCACTTTCATAGTACACACATCAGTCATTCGTACCAGGTGACTAGTTTCTACTCACTTTTTATTAACCCAGATCTAAAATATATGCAATGTAATTCTGGCACACTCATCCAAACCAAGCTGCCATTATTGCAGAAAACGTGGGATTCCAAATTTCTTTCCGAGCAGCGTTCATTTTGGTTTTAATCATTTTAGTTTTAGTCAACCAAATCTAATGGGTTTATTTAAAGTGTAATGCATTATTTAAGGCTGGGTTCACACCTATGCGTATTGAATATGCGTGTTTGTCGATCGTTTCGTGCCGCGCATTACCACGATTCAAGGTAAAAAAATGCGCGACAAACGCGCGTTTCCGAGGGCTACCTGGCTGTATCCCAATGGATACACGCGGCAAATACGCCCCAAAGAAGCTCCTGTACTTCTTTGGGCATAGGGCATTTTGTAGCGCGTTCATACGGCCTGTAATATGTCCAGGTGTGAACCATACCCATAGGACGGAAGGTGTGAACCCAGGTGTGAACCAGGCCTAAAGCAAGTCTCTAGAATTTCAAAACTCATTGAGGGGAATTTATCAAAACTGGACAAAATATGGAGCTGATTGGTTGCCCTTGGCAACCAATCAGCGTCTCTCTTCAGTTAAGATTTGAAAATGAAAGATAGAAGCTGATTAGTTGCAGTGCACAGTTGGTCCAGATTTTGTCTGCTCCAGTTTTGATAAATTCTCCTCACTATATAATTCTGGAGTAAACCTCTAACCGCTAACCTATTATGACTTCCGATTATTGCTCCACATGGTTTACAAAGGGTCTTGTTCTCATTATCAAATGAAAAATGCACCCATACATCTTCTCTTTCTCCCCGACGTTGACATGTCTGTACAGTTTGTGCTGCAGGTGTTTGTTAGCTGGTGTCCCGCTGGGTAGATCAGTAGGTTATTATTCAGTTGTGCACGTCTCCCTACTACAGGAAGAGGAAAAGCTCAGGGAACCGGAAGTCCAAATGCAATAGTCCAGCTCATTGTTAATGAAAATCCTGGAGAATTTGCTTTTCATTTTCGTCACTTAAAAACATGCAGATGACGAAAAAAACCAACAATTTTTTGACTAAATTAACACTGTTTTCAAGCATAGTGAACTTACATGACACTGGTGACCCTGACCAGTGCATACAAATAGTTCCCAGACAAGGTTGGAAGTATAGAGAGAGCTTTAAAAAAAATAAATGCTGTACTCACCTTGCGCATCAAGCCTTTTGTCTAAGTAAACTTTGTAAGTAAATGCGTAACGTAGAGCTATGGCTGCAAAGAACATCTCTACACAAATAATAAAATTCTGGTAGCCGGCAGCAACCGTGCCTTCACCCACAGTAACCTCTGCAGAATCGATTTTTGGGATAGCACCACACTTTTCCAGTATAGCTAAAAGCATTCCTGTAACAAACAAAGAGATAAATTAAGTAGCACTAAAGCATCGCGCTTTTCGTCATAAAAACACTGGCACAGAGCAGTTGAGCAGGAGACAAATGCTTTTGAAGAAGAAGTTCAGAAACACAATGTACAATTGGAATCTTTACCACCACAGCCTCTGGATTCCTGTGAGCCGCTTCCCCAAACCACCGGCTGGGAGTGCCCACTCATCACTTCTTTAAAAGTCCCCCTGACCCCCCCCCCCCCATGCATGTGCACCCAGTCCAGCCCGCTCCTGCTGCCTGTGCGTGTCAGAAGCACACACAAATGGGTGTCTCAATGGGACCCCACAAAAGAACAGAGCCACCTGCAAATGGAAAGGTGGGGGCAGTGACCTTGGGCGCAAACCAAAGAAGATGGAAGAAACAGTAGGACATGCTGCATGCAATGTAAGTTTTCTGGTAGCCCTCGGAAACGCGCGTTTGTCGCGTGTTTTTTTACCTTGAATCGTGTCTCTATGTATAATATGTTCCTACAGAAACCTGAACCGATAGCAAACCTTAAAAGTGTATTATTTACAGTATATATTGAGAGCAAATCCCTTACAACTACATCCATTTAGAACACATTACAGCTAGTAACCAGTGTTTACAATTTTCTGTATTTCCATTCTTAAGTAAATCTGTTGTACCTGTATAGTGTGCAAAATAAAACTGCTGCTGAACAGTAGGCACCATAAAGTATGCAATCAAAAAGCTGCTGGTATCCCCAGGAACCCCCAACTTCCTATTAACAGGCACATCTCTCCCATAGTCCACTGCTCAGTAACCCATCTTCAAGCCTGAGTATTTCTACATGGGAAAGTAGAAGAAATATACCTATGCTTAGTCAAACTTAGTACTTTGTGGTGCCTGCTGGTTGGAAATTTAGTTTTTTAATGAAGCTTTTACACTACTAACATAACTACTGGATCATCCTGTATTCACTGGCGAGCAAAAAAAAAAAATACTGGGTTAGTTGGTGACACCAGTGCAAAATTGAACACTGACCTTTTATAAAATTCCTTTAAAAGGAGAACTATGAGGTGAGTGCTTTTCACTCATCCTCATAGTACTAGCCGACCGGTGACAATGAAACTGTCACAGGTCGGCTCAGTAAATCGGGAAGTGAGCGAACACATCCCGTCGTTCGCTCACTTCTCGATTCTGTCATGGCAGAGAGCCATGACAGGGGAGGGGCTGGATTCCCCCGGGAGGAGGGGGCGGGTACAGCTGGCTCTGCCTCTAGAGCCAATTGTCACTCACGCAGCTGGGCGGACCCAGACATAATTGTCGGGATCCGTTTCAGCTGTGGCGTCTCAGTATACCGAGAGCTGTAGCTCGCGGTATACTGAGCTTAGGGTGACGGGAGGATGCTAGTTTGTGTCCTCCCGTTACCCTTAGGAGAACTATGGGGAAAATCCCTAGTTCTCCTTTCAATATATCACTACAGTTGCATGGGGAGATGAAGGAAAGATCTATCAAATGAGAGGTTAAGGATGTTCTATATGTATCAGACCATGTTTGTAACAGTCATTGAGTCATTGTCTGACCCAGTACATGTTACCCAGACCTCAGCCAGCCTAGTATATTGTGAGCACTATATGTTTTAATACATGCCATAATAATCTTCAGTATAGGATTGCCATGCCTTTATTTACAGTTACATGCAGACCAAGGTATCCAGACATTCAATAGTGACAGTGACAAGGGATGGGACACATCCCTGTCCAGCATTCTTGTAAGCTTTCGGCAGTGTTATGGTTTGCCCCAAATCAGCACTTTTACTTGACAGCTTGGTTTGCATGTAAAAGAGAATGTGGAGCAAAATGTGAATAAAGGTATAAGAAATAAAAACAAAAAAAACCCCATATATTTATTCCAGGATAGTGGTCCTGTAACACAGAATTCTTAAAATTAAACTAAATTTGTTTGTACTTTATAAGATCAAACATCTAATTTTCACAGACAAATGTTTTCTTTTAACTAAAAACAGTCACATGCCTGACATGTGCCCTCTAAAATGAACTTTCTAGGGAATAAAAATAGATTGTTAAACTTCCCTGGAGAAACTGGATAGTGCTGACACAAGTGAACATGCCCAAATGCAGCCATCTGTCGCTGGTATGACCCCGTGTTTATTCCCCTGCACAAAGATTACTCTGAAGCTGTTCCTCCAAACACATACAACGTTAAGATGGGGAATCTCACCTTGCCAGAAGGAAAGGAAGATGACTGACTTCACCATGAAGAACTTGAGCACAGGGCTGTAGGGACTAAGAAGCTCTCGTGTTGCAAAGTAGAAGAGAAACAGAGCATAGAGTGCAAGGCTGACTGAGATGTTGTAAATAATTGTTACATAGAGGTAACCACTGGCCACGCTGCAATGACAAACAAGACAGCTTGAAATTCTGCTCAGCTTGTAAAATGTTTAACTTTTAAGAGGAAAAACTAATTTCAAATCATTTTATTATCATTTCAAGACAACCTGACAGCAACAATTTCTTTCTTATAACAACATTTTTGGATTTGGTAGGTTGTGTTAGTCCAATTGGTTACTTTTGCTATGGAACGCTGACTAAATGTTCGACTACTTTCAGGCGCAAAAACTGAAAAGATCAAGATAACCTACCACCAGTTGAGATTGTTTCATGGTTTACAAAGAAAATATTGGCAGTAGGTTGAATTGACGTGACTGTTATAGCAATCACATTTTTTTTACGGTGAACTGCTATACGCATGTCCACCAAAATCGCAATCAAAATGTTTTTTTGACGGTGAAGTGCTATACGTATGTCCACCAAAAAGCTGGTCATGTATTGCAATCTTATTTAAGCTGCATACATACACAATTTTATTGTACAGTGTCCTTTAGATTTACCAACAATCATGGGGTGTGAGCGCCTATTTAAACTATCTATTCAATTTACAACCAATAAGGATATAGCCTAATACTGTTTGTAAATCTAAAAAATGGTACCATAAGATAATGAATGTGGTCAGCATTAAATTCACTAGTATATACGGCAAGGGCCTACCTAAGTGGATATACACTGAATGCAAAGTTTAGTTTGCCCTAGCATTACACAACTGTAGGAAAATGTAAGAGATTGTACATAGATAATACTAACAGATGATGGTGTAAGTGGCCCTTTACTTTGCTCACGCAGGGGTAAATAAAGTGCAGGGCATAAGAACTGTGGCTTTTTTAAAGCACCAAATGGAAAGATTAGGGTTATCCAAACACTTGCCAATACAGGGCATGTCAATTAAATTTGCAGATATTATGGGGTATTTGCATCAGAAATACCTCTGCTCACTGCTGTAAATCTACCAGTATGTGAGGTTTTTAAAAGGTATAACTACTACTCTTCCAACCCTCATAAGATATTTAGTTTTTTCCAGTAACTGGAGAGGCTGAATTAATTTTCATTTGCAATCAATGCAAACATTATAGTGGAAGCCAAACTTACACAATCTGCTGAATGGCATTTTTACATAATTATTGTATCCTACGGTTATCTGCTTTGACTGATTGTAAAACACACATATACATTATACAAAAGGGGCACATACCTTTAATACATATACCTGCAGTTTTGCTAAGCTCTCTCAACAGGCAGAGATATTGGTGCTGCAACTTGAATGTGAATTATGACTTCTGTATAATTCAATGAGCTTCACTGCAGTGCTTTTTTGATTCACCTTATTATATGCATCTGCAATTCTGCCCACCACATCCAAGCCTGTAGTTTGCATGGAAGCATGCACCAGTCCTGCTGCATTTGCAGGCAAATAACAAAAGGGACTGAATTACAGTCCCTTTTACTATATAATTAAAATATTTCTGAAACTTTTGCAACAAAACCCTGTTTTCCCTACGTTATGAAACCTTATCCAATTGTTTAGTAAAACAAAAGATGGGGTCACGTTGGATTAAAAACAAACAAACATGTCAAGCTTTAAAATGGTGTGTGCCGGCGAAACCACAAAAAACTACCATGCCTAAAATTGGCCATATGCCACGCTTTAAAAGCTTTTACCGCTTATCAGCTTAGTGTCATCCTGTCCATCTGGGAGACTGCCAGAGAGCTGCTGGACGTGAGTTTGAGAGGGGGGACCCTTTCTTTGGCCTGCATGGGACTGCCTGAGCCTTGGGGATCATCTACTGTGGTGAGAGGCCTCAGCCATTGACTCCCTATTTCTTGTTCCATAGGAAAATTCTGCCCAGTGGAATTGCTGTGAACACTTTTCTTTGGGAGCATTCCACTACCTCATTGGTTTACAAAGTTTAGAGTGCTCCAACTGAGGGCCCTAATAACAGCAGAACCCAAGATAGCACTATTGGCCAGTAGAATAGGGGGTTATTTAGTTACCATTAGTTGGGTAACTTTGTCTTCGATATCATAGTTATATACGCGGATAGTTAATTTTCAGTATACTGTTGTCTTTACTCGTATACACTGTAGGTGTGTTTCCATTTCCATTCTCTGTATTAGCGATTAAATGTGTATTTTCAAGTGCCATTTTGTAATTTCGTTTTTTCGATTTAAAAAGTGCTTTTGCCTTTTATTAAAACCTGTTAAACCCCACAAGGTATGTCCTGGGATTGGACGGGTCACCTCTGCAGCGGTACAAAATAACCTGAACATTACAGTAGCTCCTATAGTGGCGAGTGCGAGACTTCAAACCAGCGACAGCTAAAGCAGTTTGTTCAAGAGTGGGACAAACTACCTGACGGAAAATGCCGAGGTCTCATTGAGAGCTGCACACATCACTTGTTTGCAGCAATAGCATCTAAAGCTTGTGCAACAAAATATTATGTTAAGGTTCCCATCGTTTTTGTTTGCCCAACTTTGCTTGTATTTTTTTATAATACACCTTTGAATCAAAAGTCTGATTTTTTTTAAAAATATGGAACAGTGATAGACACCAATTACTTATGGCAGTTTCATGGAAGTTATTTCAGTGAAAATTTGTTCTTTTTTGTGAAGGTTACCAACAAACTGTATCCACAGTTGTATGCATTTCACTTGAAGTTTGGCTTAATAGCCTTTAGTATGGTACTTCCACTCAAAGTGTGGAAAGTAACAAAATAAATCCAGATGTATAATCAGCAATATGCCATACAAAAAAGAGATCAAATAGTCACAATTAACTTCTCCTCATGCTTTATTTGAAGTCCATGTGAAGATGGAGCTTTACAGAGCCTCTTTCATTCCCGTTACATATTATATTAGCATAACGCATGTGGAGTTAAAACTGAAATGTAAAAAGAAGTTAGCTATGTGTGTAAACTTTCAATATAGCAGGCTTAATTGCTTGCTGGATGCCCGTTTTCCTATGGAAAGTTCCCTAGAATTTACCTAGAATACACCCTTCAAACTAGAATACCGAGTAGCAATTGAAGATTGCTAATCACAGGCGGTGATTTCAGCAAATAATGTGGAATTGTTCAAGAAACTTTTGGACGATTTCTTAAGGGACCGTAATATACAGGGGTACGGGTACTCCTAGAATGAGATCCTAATAGGTTGGACTTGATGGACTAATGTCTTTATTCAACCTCAAATACTATGTAACTATGTAAGATCATCCTTAAAACAGAATAGCATAATAGTATTACCTGACCTCTACACATACTGCAACACTATTTTAGTGCTCTTTTCTTGCCATGGATTTAGCAACTGCATTTTTTCTTTGCTTTAGAATTTAAGCTTTGTACAGTAAACTCCCCGTTATCTGGCATCCACAAAGATTGGTAGATTCCGGATAAATGTAGCTTCTGGCTGTTTGAGTGACTATTAAAAATGGGTTCAACAAATGCTATACCACACCATAATAGCATATTGTACTCCAAACCACTAGCAATAAACTGCAGTACTGGGAGGGATTACTAGGTGGCGCTTGCTCACAGGATAACACAGCCCTTTCACAAACGATCGATCAGACACCCGTTTCTAGATCCTAAAAAGTGCTGGATTATCCTGGGAATGAGTGTCTGAATGATCCATTCAGACACTCATTCCCAGGATAATCCAGCACTTTTCGGCTCGTTCCTGTACCTTTCCATGCTCCAGAGCCTGCCCTCACTCTCCTAGAAGGTGGGAGATCGGCAAAACAATGAGTACACAAGGGGATTTTTTTTTTTTGCCGGTTAGATGAGAGGTCCGGTTAGCTGAATAACAGAGTTTACTGTATTTATTTTATTGTGTAGGTCTTCTTCAAATATTCATAAGATTCACATTTCACGTACTTTCTAATGAATATGCCTACTATACACTTTCAAGGAAGCACAGGTAGATTACACACAGATCTAAATGTTGTGGACCTTTGTTAATCACCTCCAGCAGGTAAATCATGAATTACAGAGCAGGTCAGGTATTATACACTCATGACTTACTTAAAATCACCATCCCGATATTTGCCAAAAGCTTGAAGTATTACAGTGATGATCGCCATCAGAGGTTTGACCACACAAAACTGCAGAGTTGCCTGCAAACGGGAAACACAATACTGTTTATTCCGATAACATGAAAACAAAAACACTTAATGGTTTAATTTTTTGTTCTGGGATATCTTTATTGTCATTGCAATTTTCCTTCATTTGTGTACAGCTGCACATTTCTTTTAATAGGTGTAAACTGCAACATAAGGGGGGAAAACAGAATTGAAATACATTTTAAATGTAAGAGTAGACGGAATATAATGAAAAAACTGCACAGAGGCTACCTTAAAGTGTATTTCTACCTCTGAAGTAAAACTGGGATAACCTTTACTTTATATTTGTTACATGCTCCCATTCACATAGCATAACTTGATATTGAAAAATTGCTGCTTACCTTTTTTTTTACTCTTTTCTGAAAATTGCAAAACTGAAGTGTTCCCCTTCTAGGTAATGTTAAGGAGTGGGCTGGGGATTTATGCTTACCATAATTAAGCTAGCTTTACCATAATAGCTGTTGGTAAATCTGAAGGATCTCGTATAATGGAAAAAAGTGTTTACCTACCGTAAAATACATTTTTGGGAGTTCGTTGAGGGACAAGAAATTCAAATATATTGCCAACTTCCCAGAATTGCACACTGGCAAACAAAACAAATTGGGGCCAGACAAGTATAACTTCTCCTACTCCCAGCAAGCCTTAGTTTTGCGGAAAAGCAGTACAAGAGCATAAATCCAAACACATAGAAGTACCCCATCATTTAACTCCAAGAAATAGATTTTACAGTGAGTAAAAAAAAAAAAAAAAATTATTTTTTTGTTCATTGATGGAAACAGGGATTCACAAACTGCCCGAAAGCAGTTCAACAGCAACAAAATACTAACAGGCCCACACAAAAAACATAACTAGAGACTGCCTGCAGCTCAAAGAGCTGCCTAAAGGACCTGAAGTTGGTATTAGAAGAAGCCTGATCACCCAGTAAGGTAGGGTACACAGAGTTGGAATTACGTACAAAAGAAGTTGTTTGCAGAACATTTTTTTGAATGTCAATTAGTTTGGTGCAATCAACAGATGAAAGGGCCACAAACCTGAAGTGCAAGAAAGATGGGGATATGCAAGTACAACCTTGATGTCTATCGATGGCAAGAACTCCCCTTTGGGCAGTGATGCAATTACAGAGCTGGCCAACTCTTTATGGAATTTTGGACCCAAAAAAAGGTGTTGAAAACTTTCAGATCTAGAATGGGGCTAACACCCCCACCGGGTTTTGGAACCTTTATGGATTGGAGTAAATCCCTTGAAAGCATTCCGCCTAGGCAATCAAAACAATTACATTGAAGAGTGCAGGAGCTTCAAGGCAGAATGTGCTCTTAATGGCTGGCGTAGCCTGAGGGAAGTTAGGAAACCACACACCCCCCCCCGAATGTGTTGCAGAGCCGCATGGCCACTAGGACAGGACCCATTCTGCAATGAGAAAAGTGTTGCATGGCACCCAGGACACATTTAATATGTTGCAGATGCCGTGCAACACACTGCTCCTGAGGCAGAAATCACACTGCCCACCCGTCTAAAAGCAGGGGTCCAGGGACACCAAACAGTGGGACCAGATCTTTAGGTCTTATGGGGGCCAAATCCACCACCGCATTAGTTTTAAAGATCCATCACAGGGGATATTTGTAGACTTCCCACTTTACCCAATTTGGGAGGGCATACCGCTCCTCCATAGAGGGTTTCTTTAGGGACAGGGCTTCCCCAAACAGGTGGACCTGTAGAGCACCCTTATGGTTAACTGCAACATGCTGTACTGTTCTACCAAGGGTAAGTGCCTAATGCAGAGTTCAGTGCCTATGCAACATTGCAGGCTAGCCCCACATTTTCGACACGGCAGGGGATCGGGCATGATCCCCAAGGCTCGTCAGGAAGCACTGATCTGGAAACCGCAAGATCACAGCCTCAGTGGCTTAGCTGCAGCCAAGTTGAGGAGAGAGCCCTCTTCATATAGGTTATAAGTAGATTTAGAGAGGTCGTTCTTCACCTAAGGACACTAGCAAAATACTGCAGATTTCTAGGAGTGGGAGCGGTTATATGGACTGTCCTACAACTCTGTTTGCCAGTGTCCAATCACCTGAAGGCGGCTGCATAAAACCCAGGGTCTATGATTAAAAAAGCCTGTGTCCTGTACTGTCTGATGAGGAAAAAACACATGCAATATTCTATTCACTGTTATTAGATTGGTAGATAAATTGAAGCATATCAGGCTATTAAAACAGCAAGGCATGGATCTAACAATGTAATTCCTATAAACCAATTTTCGCAGCTAATCCATGACATAACTCTAGCCACAAGGATAAATAAATTACAACATATACATCCTGACCAGACAACATTGATTCCTGGAATGTCTATTTTTAGTTGCTTAAGCTTATTACTAATGATAGTACTTTATGAAACATTAACTGCAAGCGTGTAATGTGTAAATTCAAAATAGCTTTACTTCGAAGCATTTACTGCACAAATTCATAATCACCACCATGACATAAACCATATGATATTACACCCCTAAGCCTGAATTTAAAGTGGATTCAATTATCCAAAGTGTTCTCATGGCAAAAAGTTGAATATTCCACATTGCCAGCTGCATAATATTGTCTGCTAAATTAGAAGAGGTCCAACACCGTCCAAAGAATTGTAATAAAGCAAAACACATATGACATGTCAATCTCTTATGCTCACATGTAACAGAAAAGCAGCAAAATGCACCCAAAGACACCACACGTTCATGCGCTCAGCTAGTGTGAATGGGCGCTTAGAGCCAACATCTCAAGTTGCCTGTTGCTATGATTAACCAGAGCAACTTTCCAATCCTTAGGGCATGCATCAAAGGCCTTTTATTCGCATCATAGCTTGCTTCTTGCCATACCAGTCCATGAGAAAACAAAAACGCACTCAAAGCAGGTTGGTGGAGCTTAGAAAGAAGTCAAATGCAGTTAAGAAGGTTAACTGCAGGTTAAATCAACCTGTCAATGAACTGTGAATGATCTAAGAAACGTCTCAAAATTATCTCAAATGCAGAATACACCTAAAAACAAGCTACATTTTCCCATCAATACAAGCTCAAAGTCATAGGCCCTTAGGAGTTCTGTCTTATACAAAATAAAAAGACTAACGTGACTCACTATTTGATATAGGTTTGCGATTCTAAATTCTGTTAAACCGCCTTTATTCTACCATACCTCTTTTTGTTGATTTGTGTACCCAGTGTACAATTGCCCATCTACAGGTACTGGATATTAGTGTAATGGTTTGATATTAGTAAGGCAAAAGTGAAATAAACATAGTAAGAAAAGGGCCAACAATAGTAGATGCCGTGCATGCTGATGATCTCTGACATTAGACATTTTCAAAGAGAAAAAATAACTGCCAATGCTACAGCATGTATAGACATTCTAGTATTAACATGGTCAACAGTACTTCATGATGTATTAAGTGTAAGAATTTTAGGTGAACAGAGCAAAAAAATAAATGGTGCCCTAAAGCAACATACCTGTTTACAGAACCGCAAGAAGCCTATGGAATAGGTCTTTCCCCATAGGCAGCATGTCCCATACATGCAGCTGGATCTGTTGAGGTGGCAGAAAAAAATTAGAAACGTTAAACTCGACACCGGTATCATAACACCACAATTTTAACAGAACATTAATAAAAAAGTCTTCTAACATAAATATGAGGGCAGTCATTGCTGACCTCCTGAAAATGCTTGGTGCCTGGCAGTCTGCTAATTATCCAAATTCCATAAGTAACCAACCCACAGACTCTTTTCTGACGTGGCAATTTTCTGTGTCGTCTCAACTCTGCATTCTACAACATTCCTTAAAAAAATCTGTACTTTTCCCTTGAGATTGATAACACAACTATCCAACCTTCCCCCCATGCATCACTTGCCCCCCCCGCCCCCATTTTAGATTGTAAATCCTCA